GTTATGAGGCATCTACATTTACGAAAGCCATCGATAAATAACACATACTTATGACAACAAAGTAAAATGTGTATGGTAATGACAACTGCACGTAAATCATGATTCCGTGAAGGTCTGAAGGTAACGATACCATCCTCAAAAGTAGCAACGCTCCTAAAGTAGCGATGGAATCACGCAGGCTCCAGTAAGTGAACGTGTGATGAGAAACAATAGAAATGACAGACAAAGCAAGTTGTATTAGAGTTATGATATTTGTTCTGTATTACTCTGTTTTGATTTAAGATGAACAAGATTTACGCCAACTATCTTCTAAAAGCTCAAAACATTTATATTCAATTAAGGATAGGCCCATAAATGGTACGCGTTCAGAAAGTTACGACGTCCCCCAACCCCCCACCCCCCCCCCCCCCCCAAAAAAAAAAAAGGTTGACTGTCCGAAAGTAGCAATAAGAGAAGGTTGCTGAATCCCAAAGTAACGAATGTCATTACTTTTGGAACTTCACGGTAAGTAAAGTTGTGAAACTGTGCGGAGAATGTTGGTCAGATTGGCGATCGGGAAAATGTAAAAACACAATTTAGAGAGGACTGAGCAAGTAATTCGTCTCTCTATTGCTTCATCCTTTCCTTAAGTTTGGATCGAATCAAGTTCTAACCGAAACATCAAGTCAAATCGTAGCGCCATTTAGAACGTTTTGATGGTTCTTATAAAATTCAACGTAAATCATTACCTGTCCGTCTGCAGAGCAGAACTCTTGTAGTTTTTCCTGTTCAAGCTCTGAGCTGGTGAAGTGTGAAAGAAGTTCAAAGAAGTACCTCCTCGGAACACCTTGAATGTCCAGATAATGTTCCACAAGCTGCTGAATGGAGCAAGGTTGAGGAAGCTGATGAGGAATGGGGATGTCTGTGAAATGACATTCACAGTTAGTACCAAGTTTTAAAAACACCTGTGCTTGAAAAAATACATGTAGTGCGTCTGTGCCATATTTTTGATGACACATCGAAAAGTATTGTCGCCTGACGTTGACAATCACAAACGCATACCGTTATTTGAAATCAACGCCAACTGGCATTGACATTTAGTGCCTTGACCAACCACTCCTACGTGGCTGATG